CACACACACATACACGTGCGGTATATGAAAACAGAATTTACAGGGAATGCAATAAGAATAGGTAAGGTATTGTTACATAACTAATAAATGTTAATAAGATTAAACCATTAAAAATATGTTCTAAGAACGTTCTGCTAACATCTCCATCAAGTTCACACATTGCTTTGTTTCTCTTCTGTAAGTTGCTGTGGATAAAAGCATCTGCTAAATGCATAAATGTAAATGTTAGTAAAATGTGCTATGATGCAAGATATGGCCAAGAAAAAAACATAGCTAATAAAAACATTTTTTCTTGTTTATACGAAAATTGAGGGAACATTCCATTTCATAATTGGGCAAACATTATGGGAACGTTACTTTTTAATGTTCTCTGAACAATATGAAACAAGTAGTTACATTAAAAAAACAACATGAGATGAACATTCAAACAACATGTTTCAGGGAAAAATGATTAAATTACATCTTAAAATACTTGTATTCAGATTACAGTTACTTTTTTATGGATTACATTATTACATATTATTTACACAATAGGAATAACTTATTAATAATTTATTGATTCTCCCTAACTCCTCTTTTTCATCTTTTAAATGTTCCTCTCTAAAATATCCTACCGCTCACATACACTCAGAAAGTCTTCGGTTTTGTGGACATTCACTCAGAGATCAGTCATTAGTCAGGTGCTACACAGCATTTGGCTTCTGATTTACAAAAATCATTTCAGGTTTAAGAAGTGTTTCAAAATTGCATCAACTACTGATGAACACATTCATTTTTATTTGAATTATCACTCAGTTATTTTACTGTGTATTACTTTGGAAGGCGTTTGTCTTCCAAACACATTAAAATGCACAAATTCACTAACTTTTTGTCATCTGATCTTCTTTTAAACTCTGACGGGGCTATAGCGCCCCCTAGCCCCGGTGTAGCGCCGTCACTGTCGAGCAATCCCTGGCTGAGCCACGACCCTAGATAACTAACTACACGTAGATTCCTCTTTAGCAACTGTTTCTATGGGCCGCTATACATAAGCCGTCCGCCATAATGGTCAACTTGACATAATTCCCCAAAGTAATCAAAGAATGTTCGAAGATGCCACAATCCTGCACAGCCGATGGTCTGCGAACCCATAGTACATTTACATTTAGTCATTTAGCAGACACTTTTATCCAAAGCAACTTAAAAATAATGACAATAGAATCAATCAAAAGCTATGACAATACTTGGTTAGCCAAGCACAGTACACATAGCACACATATATATGTGTGTGTGTGTGTGTGTGTGTGTGTGTGTGACCCTGGAGCACAAAAGCAGTGTTAAGTCGCTGGGGTATATTTGTAGCAATAGCCAACAATACATTGTATGGGTCAAAATTATACATTTTTCTTTTATGCCAAAAATCATTAGGATATTAAGTAAAGATCATGTTCCATGAAGATATTTTGTAAATTTCCTACCGTAAATATATCAAAACTTAATTTTTGATTAGTAATATGCATTGCTAAGACACACTGTATATGGACCTGACTGTAACACAACGAAAACAAGTAGATAGAATAGCAAAAGAAGGGACAATGCTAGTGTTAGACAACAAGCAGTTAGAAAACGAATAGAGAGAGCAAGTGTTAGAGCAGGGCTGTCCAAACTAGGTCCTGGATGGTGTCCTGCAGAGTTTAGCTCCAACTTGCCTCAACTCACCTGACTGGACGTTTCTATGCCTAGTAAGAGCTTGATTAGCTGGTTCAGGTGTGTTTAATCAGGGTTGGAGCTAAACTCTGCAGGACACCGGCTCTCCAGGACCCAGTTTGGACAGCCCTGTGTTAGAGGGTCAAGTCAACAAATAGATCAAATAGAATTAGAATAGTACGGTGAATGTCGTCGAGTTGACCGTTCCAATATGGCGGACGCGCAGCGGTCGAATGGGGCTTTATACATATCTATGGCCACGACGACCACCGTGCGTCTCCGATGGCGTCATCACGCAGCGAGCGTGTCCCACGTGCAGATGTTTACGTCCTCCTCTGTGTGACGTCAGCGCCCAGCGAGTCGTCGTCGGATGAGAAACATCGGCGATGTTAAAGATGCGGATCAGCGCGCAAAACGCCTCGCGGGGGACGCGACGCGCGCGGGTGTGAACGCGCAGCGATACGCGCGCGCGTCGGGACACAGAAGCAGACGGGAATCGGTGTTATTAACGGCTTTCTCGCGCGTCCGTTAGTCTGGCCTTTCTTCTGCTGAGCAGTGTCCGGATCCATGATGGAGGACGCGCTGGAGTGCGGATGGGTGTCGGTGCGCCCCAACGCCTTCGAGGAGAAACACAAGCACAAGTTCGTCTTCATCGTAGCCTGGAACGAGATCGAGGGCAAGCTCGCCGTCACGTGCCACGACCGGACCGTGCAGCGGCGCGGAGGGAGCGCGGAGCCGGACTCCAGCTGGGCCGGGCTCTTCTCGTTCCAGGAGCTGCGCGCCGCTCACCTGCAGCTGTGCGCCGTCAACTCGGACCTGGAGCCGTGCCTGCCCGCCCTCCCCGAGGAGCAGACGGTGTGGACGGTGCTGTTCGGCGCGCCGGGTCTGAGCGCGCGAGACGCGGACTCGCTCTGCTTCCAGCTGCAGGTGTACCTGGGGCACGCGCTGGACACCTGCGGGTGGAGGATCCTGTCCCAGGTGCTGTTCCCCGACAGCGACGACTCCGAGGAGTACTACGAGAGTCTGAGCGAGCTGCGGCAGAAGGGCTACGAGGACGCGCTCCAGAGAGCCAAGACAAACCTGCAGCAGGTGAGACTCATTAACGACCGTCTCTAAACTCCCAACATCACCCCGAGATCCGACTACACCACTGTGACCCTGGAGCACAAAACCAGACATGAGGGTCAGTTTTGTGAAATTGAGAGTTATGCATCATCTGAAAGCTGAATAAATGAGCTTTCAATTGATGTATGGTTTGTTAGGATCGGACAATATTTGAAAATCTGGAATCTGAGGGTGCAAAAAAATCTAAATATTGAGAAAATCATCTTTAAAGTTGTCCAAATGAAGTTCTTAGCAATGCATATTACTAATCAAAAATTAAATTTACAGTAGAAAATTTACAAAATATATTCATGGAACATGATCTTTACTTAATATCCTAATGATTTTTGGCATAAAAGAAAAATCTATAATTTTGACCCATACAATGTATTGTTGGCTATTGCTACAAATATACCCCAGCGTAACATGAACAGGAAAAGCGCTATACAAATAAATTTGACTCCACTAACCAGCAAACACTCACTCTCACTCTCTCACTCTCTCTCACACACACACACACACACACACACACACACACACACAATACTGACTGTCTTCATTCACAACACTAGAGCTGCTGTTTGGGTTCAAACACAAACTTCTTTTCAGATGTTTTTGTTGAAGGGTGTCTGTTTACAGTAAATGACAGTATGACACCTGCTGTGATGCGTGTGACATTTATATGTTTGAACATGAAAGTATGAAAACAACAACTCCACTGACTGAACTCTCTCTCTCTCTGGACACTGGTCACTGAACCTCTAAACCACCATCTGTCAGAGCGAAACCTGACCCAGAGTCAGCACAATGAGTGTGAGCGGATTACACACACACACACACACCCACATACTCATATACACACTTTCACACACACACACATACACACTCACATACACACTCACACATAGAAACACAAACACAAAATCATATATGCACAAACACATTTACACACTAACTCACATACGCACATAAACACACACTCAGTTATAAATGAGTGAATATCATCAGACACAAACATCCCAGCGAGTGTCGTTTACTGTCAAGAAGCACAAACACTCAGTCAGCTGAGATGATAAAACACAGCTAGTGTTGAAGTGTTGTGTGACTGTGTGAACATGAGCGCATGTTTATGTGGGGTTTTGAAGCGTCTGTTTAGAGTGATTTGTGCTGCATGATTAACTTAAATAAACCCCAAATCCAGAAATGGCTTTGTGGCGATTATCAAATCACAAAGGCTGTGATTTAGTTCAGCATCTGCGCTGTGTGTTTCAGAGTGAAGCGTGGCACTGTGTTCATTTACACACCAGCAGCTCGTGATGTTTCAGCGTCTCGCAGTAAACCATGCACATGAACTCCAGCTCTCTGAGTCGCTTTAACATGCGTTTGGGAACAAAACATGAGCTAAACATCTTCATAAAGGTGTAATAAGAAGTGCTGATCAACAGAAGACAAGCTTTAAGGAGCGCACGCTTCTGCGGTTTTCTGTCAGAATAAAAGTTTGATGCTTTAACATCTGAAATCAAGACAGCCATCAATTTTAGTGTTGTAATTTTACATTTTTAGTGTAAAATAAAATTATTTTTCTCAAAATTCTGGCCAAAATTTTGCAACCCTACAAACAGGCACATTTTAAGCACGATTTTCCCTGATTTGTTTTCCTCAGCAGATCAGAGAAGTGACTGAAGCTCAATCAGGATGGTGTGTTTGATTAGCTTAGCTTAGGGGTAAATTATACATAGGGGCTCGTTAGCATATTAGGGGTCTTATAAAATGTTTTATTTTCTCCCAAATGAATTTTTTCCCTAAATTCCAATTACATTTTTTTCTGGATTCTATTCAAATGGTAAAATTAAATTTTTATTTTGATTTAATAATTAAAAAGCAAGCCTTATTAACTGAAATTGTGAAACAGTTCATTAAAAGTTTAACAAAAATTACATTTTCAGGACCCTATGAAAAATCCATTTTAGTTTTTTCCAAATTTAAGTCAAACCGAACGTTTGTTTCTACGTCTCAAAGCGCTGTTTATCTCAGTGTTAAACTGCATGGGTTCAGAATCAACCAGTCAGCAGGACGTCTGACTGTAAACAAGAGTCAAACAGCGACACACACACACAGACACACAAATGCACCCAAACACACTCTCACACACACACACACACAGACAAACCTATATGACTTTCTGTATTCAGTGGAACACAAAAGGAGATATTGGGAGAAAAGTCTGTAGACCGTAGTGTTTCTTACAACACTAAGAAAAAATAGTGTTTTCTGTCCCTATAATGAAAGTCAATGGGGTCCAGTGTTGCTGGTTCTCAAAGTTCATTTGTGTTCCACTAAAGAAATCCTCATCATTTTTGGGTGAACTCTCCCTTCGAGCACTGCTAAAATACCACAACTGAAAACACATGCCACTCTCTGTGTGTGTAAGTGTGAGAGTGTGTGAGTATGTATCTGCTGTATGGGACAGTATGGAGAGCTCTCATTGGTCGGTGAGTCGGTCTGCTTCAGCTCAGCGGGACAGACAAGTGTCTAGACAGCTGTTATCTAGCGTGTGTTTGTGACGGGTTCTGCGGTCAGCAGGTCAAAGGTCAGCAGTGACTGGTGTGATTTCCTGATGGGTGGAGCAGGTGAAACATTGCTGCATGTGTTTGAGTGTGTGTCTTACTGGAGACACAAGCCATTAAACACACTC